TTCCTTCTCTCCCTCTGCCTCTCCCCCTCGCAGTCTCTCTCTCCAAAAAAAAAAAAAAAAAAAAAAAAAAAAAATCTTAAAAAATAAATAAGAATGAAGTTTTGATGGATATCATACAGTGTATGAGTTTATCTGTTTCTCCAGATAATGGCTAACCCTGGGTATTACTAAGCTTTAAAATTTTGTCAGGTTCAGTCATGGCCACCACTCTATTATGTATACCTGTATTCAAATGTTGACATTACTATAATTGATGTTTACAGATCTTTTACCACACTGTTAGCTTCTTGAGGACACAAACTGAAGTGCATTTCTCCTAATATTACACTTGGCACACAATACTCTGCAAATGTTTCATAAATCTCAAAGCTGAATTTAAGGCTTTGAGATGTCACTGAACCAGGAGTCAGAAGAGCTGGTTCAACCCAAAAAACCTGCCCTAATTTTTCTCTAATTCTCTCTGGCTTCCATTTCCACAACTACAAAATGCACATGTAACACTAGATTTCTTGGGGCACCTGGCTACCTTAGTCAGTACAATGTCTAGCTTTTTTTTTTTTTTTTTTAACATTTTATTTATTTGAGAGAGAGAGACGGCGAAAGAGAGAATACAAGCAGAGCGAGTGGGAGAGGGAGCAGCAGGCTTCCTGCTGAGCAGGGAGCCCGTTGTGGGGCTCCATCCCAGGACCCCGGGACCATAACCCAAGCTGAAAGCAGACGCCTAACAACTGAGCCACCCGTGCGCCCCGAGTATCTGGCTTTTTTTTTTTTTTTTAAAGATTGTATTTATTTATTTGACAGACAGAGATCACAAGTAGGCAGAGAGGCAGGCAGGGAGAGAGGAGGAAGCAGGCTCCCCGTTGAGCAGAGAGCCCGATGTGGGGCTCGATCCCAGGACTCTGAGATCATGACCTGAGCCGAAGGCAGAGTCTTTAACCCACTGAGCCACCCAGGCGCCCCGAGTATCTGGCTCTTGATCTCAGTTCAGGTCTTGATCTCAGGGTTATGAGTTCAAGCCTCATGTGGGACTCCATCAGCATGGAGCCTACTTAAAACAAAACACACACACACACACACACACACACACACACACACACACAAACACGAGGTTTCTTTCTACGGTCCTTTTCAGACCTCAAATTATATGCTTCCAAGGACGTTAACTTTTTTAAATTAATTATTTTTATTAACATATAATGTATTACTTGCCCCAGGGGTACAGGTCCGTGAATCGTCAGGCTTACACACTTCACAGCACTTACCGTATCACATACCTTCCCCAACGTCCATTACCCCACCTCTCTCTCCCTACCACCCTTCAGTTTGTTTTGTGAGATTAAGAGTCTCTTATGGTTTGTCTCCCTCCTGATCCCATCTTGTTTCATTTTTTCCTTCCCTAGCCCCCAAACCTCCCACTCTGCCTCTCAAATTCCTCATATCAGGGAGATCATATAATTGTCTCTCTGATTGACTTATTTCGCTCAGGATAATACCCTCTAGTTCCATCCACATCGTTGGCAAATGGCAAGATTTCATTTCTTTTGATGTCTGCATAGTATTCCATTGTAGATATATACATCTTCTTCTATCCATTCATCTGTTGATGGACATCTAGGTTCTTTCCATAGTTTGGCTATTGTGGACATTGCTGCTATAAACATTTGGGTGTACATGCCCTGGGAAGGACATTAATGTTCTCATCTTGTGATCTCTTTACATACCAATTAAAAATTTAATACTGTAGGGGTGCCTGGGTGGCTCAGTGGGTTAGGCCTCTGCCTTCGGCTCGGGTCATGATCTTGGGGTCCTGGGATTGAGCCCCACGTCGGGCTCTCTGCTCAGTGGGCAGAGAGCCTGCTTCCCCCCCTCTCTCTGCCTGCCTCTCTGCCTACTTGTGATCTCTGTCAAATGAATAAATGGAATATTTAAAAAAAAAATTCACTAATTACTAGTCCTAAACCACACATTCACCATTTTTCAGTACCAACATATGCTTTCCAGTATAGGTTATTTTTCAAATATTAAGATATTGAAGATTTTGAATGTCATAGGCAAATCAATCTTTAGAATTTTTCAGTAGTAAAATCTACAAACACTTCAAGTAAAAGGTATTTGGTTTCAAGATCCTTATTCTCTTAAAATCTGGACCTGAGTTCTAGTCATAGTTTTCTCATTGTCTCTTGGGGCTAAACTAAATAAGCAAGCTAATTAAAGTACTATGCAATTATTAAGATATTTTAAAGTCTCAGTTATTAAAAAATTATTAGGGAGTTATCAGCTACCTTCATCATTATTAAATGGTGGCCATATATATGTCTATACACAATTTTTTGTTCCAATAGATCTTTATCAGATTATTTTCCTTAGAACCCAACAGACTCAGTAAATCTTCCTACAACTGGTAAAAGTTCCATCAAAATAAGCACAGAGTTCTGCTTAATATATTTTCACAGCTTTGGTGGATGTACATATATATAGTAGCAGTGTTTTGTTGATTAGGTTGACCTTGAATAAGTCATTAACTCCTTGGAGCCTTAAGAAAGGAATGCATTTCATTTTATTTATAAAAATAAAAGCTGGAGGTTTTATTAGGCATGACTTTCCATCACAACCATAGTTTGAGTTTTTCACTTCATTCATTTAGAATGGGGACTTTTAATTTTAGGATCAGGAACTCCCTTGGGGGTGCCTGCCTGGTTCAGTCAGTAGAGTGACTGCTGATCTCTTCAGAGTTTGAGCCCCATGTTGGGTACAGAGCTTAGTTTAAAAAAACAGTAACAAAACTCCCATGGATGGTTCCCTGCAACCCCGAACTGTTGGAAAATTTTTGAATACACATTTCCCTATAATGATGGTCTTGTTATTGAGCACATTGAACATGTACTGTGTCAGGAAGTAAGCTAAGAGTTTCATAGGTTTTCTGACCTAATCCTCGTAATAACAGTATGGGGTAGAGGTAAATATAATTATTCTATTTTTATCCCCATTTTACAAATGAAGAAATAATCTTCAAATTTTTCTTAGTAACCTTTCCAAAGTTCTGGCCTGGCAAGAAGTGGTGTTTAAATAACTCAGCAACAAACAATAACAAATGACTGTATACTGGGTATTATTAAGAGGGCATCACACTTTTTATTAATGTATTTGTTATAATACAATTCATAATAAAACTGGGAAGCATTTTGCATAGAGCTTAGGCTTTAAAATCTTTCTTGCACATCTACTCAATTTTCATAGCTGTCCGAGAGGTTTATATCTGAGGCAACATGGGACAATCAGATATCTCTAATTAAACTCCCTTGCCTTTGTCTCTAACTCTGCAGATTTAGGCAAATTATTTGGTATTTCTTAGGTCTCAATACCTATTGTTTACAGGGTTTTTGTGAAAATTAGACATAATGTACTTAAAACTTTAGTGATACATATTTAGGTCCACTTTAAATGAGAGGGTATTTCCACATTTCCTTCTTCACCCAAAGGAATCTTGAGCTCTGTAACTTTCTCATTGTTTCATTACTTAGCATCATAATTGTATCAGCCAGGTTATTCTCACCTTTATGTATTTTTCTTCTATTTGGGGGCTCTTCTTCAGAAAGCCTTTTTCCCCCTAGCAACCACCTTTAATGTTTATGTTCACAATAACCTTAATATTTAGTTTTACAGGATTAATAAGTACCCCATTAGACAGACTTTCATGTTTATTTTATGTAAAAACCAGCCAATTTTACTGAGCACTACTTACACCAGACAAGGTATTCTTTATAGAATTACAAGTTCAACACATGTTGCCTAGATGGCAGCCCAAGGATTCTGAACCATCTTGGTCATATAATCACCTTTTCTCCATTTGAACACAATATTCCGTCACCAACAGGTCTATGAAGTCTACACACATTCACTGAAAATTACTGTGTAGAATACAAAACTGGCAGCATATGGCCCCTTGAGGTCAGCTACAGTGCTAAGGGGTAAAGAAAGTAGAGGGGGACAAAAAGTTTGTACTGAATTCAAAGACTTTCAGAAAGAATTTGTACAATTTCAGGCAACTTAGAATTTTAAGTACTTTAAGCAAAATATACTTCATAATGTATCTCTACTGAAAAAATAAACAGTTTGGAAAAAATTTACAGGTGACATTCTGTACAGTTTATCTTTTTGAAGATAAAGCATCAAAGACATACTACTATTTGAAAAATCTTATTGTTGTATCAAGAATATCACATCCTATAATTGGGCTAAGTCTTTAGGGAAAGCAGGAATAAGGGTTACAGAACAAAAGGATTAGGATTCTGACCATAGATTTTGAAAAACATTTAATATGGCTTTAAATTATCTCCTGATTAATTATAAACTTTTACCTCCTAGTTTTGTGTTCTATTACTGGAGTAATTTAGTTGACTTAAAACTGCAGATGGTTAATATAATGAATACGGAACAACAACAAAGACCGAAATTATATCCCTTAACTCCATCACTCCAGTGGTACGTGTGTGATAATCTCTTATACAAAGAAAAATTTCACATAAATCACCGTGGCATATAAACAGGTTCAAGAGAAAACATGAAGATGTACTATCCATTAACCTTCTCACTGCTAATTCTTAGAAATAACAACCTAAGATCTGTATTAATGGGAGGGAATTATGTGTAGCAGGTAAGAACAATGAGCTCTGGAACCACACTAGAGTCCTTAACTATTTTTCTGTGACCTTGGGCAAGCTACCAAATATCCCCAGGCTTCAGTGTCTTCGTCTGTAAAATGAGATAGCACTACCTCACAGAATTGTAGCAAGGACAAAACAAGATAATGCATGTACAACCAGAGTGCTCAGCACATAGAAAAAGCTGAATAATCATTACCTATCATTATTATGATTATTATTAGCTATAGCTGTCCAAGATACATATCTGATGTGTGATTATGTTACACATACTTTTTCTATTTACCCTGTTTGACAGAATGCTCAAATTCCTCCTTGAGCACTAGAAGCCAGTGGGTTCTGATGGAAGCTCTTCTTATTTCATCCATTTTTACAAACATAAATATCAACGAAAATAAACAAAAACTCATATTTTAAGAATTTTCTTTTTATGTGTCACAAAGACTGCCAATACTTTTATGTGAAAGAGCATCTGTATACACTTTTTATTGAACAATTTAACAATGTTTACACAATACATATATGTTTTTGAAACCTCAAAGTTCACTGATAACTGCAGCATCATTTTCAAATAAGCAAGGTACGACCTTGAGTATTACATCATTCAGATTATTTTTTAAAGAGATAAACCTGTAGGAGATCACTCCAACATAACTGTCCATTAATTATCTGTAAGAAAATGGGGCTCCTAGCAGAAGTTTCAGCATATGGATGGTTCCTCTACTGCCTGGGCACCCTCCGTGACAGCTTTGACACATTTGGCCATTGTCTGTGAGGCTCTGCTAATTGAGTCTGAAAGATATTAAGAAAATGTGCATTTTGATAGCATAATTTTTAAATAAGCACACAGTATAACTTTCTTGTTACAAACATTCAGGAACAACAACAAAAAAGACTGTAAAATTCTATGTAACTGTATCTAATTTGAGAACAACAAATCCAGAAAATAAGCCCCTTCTATGCTAAATGGTTTTAGTAAGTACTCCTAGGAATGATTAAATAATTATATACAGTTCTACAATATGCCAGTATACAACCATTACAATTATAATAGAGAAGTACTAAAGATAGGACAAATATGCACACAATACTATTACTGAAATAAAGTTTACAAAATAGTATGTGTACTAAAATCCACTGAATCTAGGGGTGCCTGGGTGGCCCAGTCAGCTCAGGTCATGATCCCCAGGTCCTAGAATCTAGCAACATGTTGGGCTCCCTGTTCAGTAGGGAGTTTGCTTCTCCCTCTGCTTCTGCCCTTTCTCCCCACTCCTGTATGTGCGTGAATGCACTCTCTCACTCTCAAATAAAATCTTTAAAAAAATAACAACAACAACAACAAAAATCCACTGAATTCAGTGAATTTTATGGTGTGTAAATGGTATTTCAATGAAGCTGTCAACCCCTCCCACCCAATAAATGAATAATCATATATTTTCTTTAAATATATACATGTATATCCCTGTATGACAAAATCTTAGGAAAATGAAAGTAATTACTTCTGGATAGGGGGATCATAGTAACTATTCTTTGCTCGTTGGGCTTAGGTATGTATTCTACAACAAACAACTTTTATAACATAACTAAAAAAAACCCAAAATAATCTCAGATTAATAAGCTTAAAAAAATTTTAAATATACCATCTGCTTTTAGAGTATTATTTAAAATCATCTGTCAACTAGCTCAGAACACAGATGTTATATATCAACTGTTACATTACATTATAGCAAATGTAAGATCTTCAGTAAACAAGTTTCAGTAAGTCCACATTGCTTAAAAGCATCCCTAACAATGTCCATCAGAAGCACTCTTTAACATACTTCACATTTAAGTGTTTTGATGTTTCTACTGTAATTCTCAGAAAAACCTTCACAGCTGTCACTTAAAAAAATTCTCCCTAAATTGCTATATGGTGACTTTATACACAACAGTAAATTTTATACTTAAAATCTGCTTACATTTCAGAAAGAAAAGAAATTTAGAGTCAAATCAGAAAATATAAATTACATTACTTCTGATGTTTCAAAGTCTTCAAAAATTAAATAGAAAATATCAAATATTCTCATAAGCAGGTTGGAATCATAATGCTAAACTAGGTGATCTTATTCCCTCCCTCCCTTATACCTGGCAGTGAGCGCTAACACATGCATACCTGTCATGTAGAAGTCTTTTATTGTTAGCTGAGGTGGAACAAGCGGATCAGCAAGAAGTTGCTGGTTCACCAGCTGCAAAAAAGGATTATGAGGTCAATAATACAACTGAAAACTAACATTAGTGAATACGCTAGTATGAAAACTGAACACAGGCAAATTTTTACCTTGGAAAGCTCATTTGCTTGTTGGAAATAATTGGCTCCTTCGACATCATCATATCGGACAAGATTCGGAGAGACTTCTTCCAGTCTGTTCCTTACTTGATCCAGAGTATCATATGGAAGAGTCATACCTGCAATCTATAAATATGAGGTCCTCAGAATCGACATAAAGCTTTAGTACTGAAAAAAATTAAAATCAGGGCGCCTGGGTGGCTCAGTGGGTTAAACGTCTGCCTTCAGCTCAGGTCATGATCTCAGGGTCCTAGTATCAAGTCCCACATCGGGCTCTCTGCTCAGTGGGGAGCCTGCTTCCCTCTCTCTGCCTGACTCTCTGCCTACTTGTGATCTCTCTCTGTTTGTCAAATAAATAAATAAAATCTTAAAAAAAAAATTCAAATTATACGTTAACTGCTACTATCCTGAAATAATATGCTAGTGTAAGTTCTACTGGTACCCATCCGCATGTACATTAAGTGGTTAAGTGGAAAACACAACTGTCAAAAATTCTAATTCATAAGGAACTGTCAGTACATTAGTAATTTCTCTTCAAAAATTAGATTTAGTATGAAATAAATGAATAAAGAGATAATGCTATGCTAAATCTGAATGTTTTTGCTAACCCAATATTGATCATATACAAAGTTTACAGAAAACTATATATTATTTTAAATCTCATGCTTTTTTTAATAATAAAAATAGTTAAAATAAGTGTTTTTAGGAAAAAAAAAACAAGCCAAAAATAAAACTACCAATATCTAACACGTATTTTCTGAATACATTTGTCTTAAAGAGGTTATTCAAATTACCTCTCTGCACATTAGACTTGCATCCTCCTTGACTCTGAAAATCATTTTGACAAGCTAACAAGGCAAACATCCCATTAGCAGCATCACTTAGAATAAATACCTCAGAGAGGGCTCTTAGAATTTTCCAATCTTCTCTTGCCAAGCCAGGAGGTGTCACTGCTACTTTAGTCTGCTGGGCTCGGCCCTCAGTATTGACATAAGTAGCAGACTTCTCTGTGTAAGCAGCGCCTGGGAGAATAACATCAGCTATTGGAGCGCCGATGTCACCATGATGTCCTGAGAAAAGATGGAAAATGGCAAACTATATTTTAGCAAAAAAGTGATTAGGTTTCATACATGAACATCAGATATCCTTTTTAAATCCCATTAAGAATACAAAAGGGTTGGGGTGGCTCAGGCGTCAAGTGTCTTCCTTTGGCTCAGGTCATGATCCTGGGGTCCTGGGATTTCCCACTCCCCTTGCCCGTGTTCCCTCCCTCTCTGTCAAAAAAAAAAAAAAAAAAAAAAAAAGAATAACAAAAGTGTTTACAAAATTATAACATATAGAACATAAAAAAAAATTTTGTAATAAAAAGCCCACCTTGCCCATAATTCAACTCCCTTCCCAAAGAAAATTACTGATAAGCATTTGCTATTGTCACAGATTTTTTTTTTTTTTTTTAAGAGAGAGACACACAGTGAGAGAAGTAACATAAGCAGGCAAAGTGGGAAAGGGAGTAGCAGGCTCCCCGCTGAGCAGGGAGCCCGATGCAGGGCTTGGGCTCCATCCCAGGACCCTGGGATCATGACCTAAGCTGAAGGCAGACTCTTTTTTTTTTTTTTTTTAATTTATTCATTTGACAGACAGAGATCACAAGTAGGCAGAGAGACAGGCAGAGAGAGAGGAGGAAGCAGGCTCCCCGCCGAGCAGAGAGCCCGATGCGGGGCTCGATCCCAGGACCCTGGGACCATGACCTGAGCCGAAGGCAGAGGCTTTAACCCACTGAGCCACCCAGGCGCCCCTGAAGGCAGACTCTTAATGACTGAGCCACCCAGATGCCTCCCAGATTATTTTTTGTAAATACAGAAATATGTGTAATATCATACAAACATGCATCATGGGCAACTAGGTATATTATTTCTCTTGCTGATTACAAAGTGGAAATGCTCAGATGTATGTTAGAGAAATTCAGTAAAATAGACTGAAATGGTGGAGGAACAAAAAATGTGGAACAGGAATGACAGTGGTAATACCGAAAAGAACATAAATAGGATATTATAGAAAACAGTATAATGAAAGGCTGAAATAGTATAATGAAAATTTTAATAGTTTAACAAAAGTGTTAGAAGGAAAAGAAAACCTTGAGTTGGATGAAAGAAAGTTAGAGAATATATGAAGTCTAATCTCATTTGTATTCATTTTCATATGTAACAGAAAAATATATGAAGCATACATTTCCAAAGCCATCATCAGTGATTATTTCTGGAGAGGACTAGGAACTGGATGCAAATTATGCATTTTGCTTTAACTTTATCACACAAAAGGTATAAAATATTATATAATGCTCTTTATGTGCCACAGCAATAAAAAGCCTACTACAAATTTATGGTGTTTGTATAAAATGAAGTGGAGAATTATGTAATACTCTTCTTTGTAAAATATCCAGGAATATTCTGGACTCCATTTATTCTAAGGAAACTTTATTATATTTACAATGAGTGAGAGTTCAAGAAAAGGAAGTCAAACACAAAAAACCTGGAGAAGTACTATCAAATATATTTCTTTTCTTCTTTTTTTCTTTAAAAGATTTTATTTTTTATTTATTTGACAGACAGAGATCACAAGCAGGCAGAGAGGCAGGCAGAGAGAGAGGGAGAAGCAGGCTCCCTGCTGAGCAGAGAGCCAGATGTGGGGCTCAATCCCAGGACCCTGGGATCAGGACCTGAGCCGAAGGCAGAGGCTTTAACCCACTGAGCCACCCAGGTGCCTTACATTCATGATTTTAAAACTTCCTACCATTTATGTAAAAGTGCTTTCCTCTGATTATATAATAATGCCAAATATTCTTTGAAAAGTTGAATTTTAATAACATAAACTAACATTTAACTGTATAAGTAAATCATAACATATTACGTAACATTTAACTGTATAAATAAATCATTATTTAACCATTCCTATTACTGAGGTATTTAGGTTTCTTCTCAATCTTTGTTATCAAATATCATCAGGTAATCTTTCTTTTTTTTTTTTCCCTTAGATTTTGTTTATTTATTTATTTGAGAGTCCCCATGTATTTGGGCGGGGGCAGAGGGAGGGGGAGGAACCGGCTCCCTCTGAGTAGGGAGCCCGATGTGGGGCTCGATCCCAGGACTCTGGAATCATGACATGAGCCATGAAGGCAGATGCTTAAAACTGACTGAGCCATGCAGGCACCCCACCAGGTAAATTCTTAACAGCACTATCAGCTATATAACTAATAAAACCTATGATTTAGTTTAAAAAATACTAAGGTGCGTGTGTGTATAACTCCTGAATGGAAAATATTCATTTGACTAAATGTATTGCAGTACAGTTTCTAATCTACACAATGTAGGATTCTTCTCTGTTTCTAGTGTCACAGATGCTACTTACCCTGATAAATAATGAAACAATCCTTTGGCAAATCCTGTCGAGTGATACAACCTCCATCTGCTCCCAGGAGAAACAGCACTTTGGGAGGGTTCTTGCGAATTGCTTCCACCCCAGGTTTATAGCCAAGGTCCAAAGCAGCTACCTGGCTTGCAATCCTGTTGAACAATTACGGATTTTTAGCACACCTGCAGTCTTATCGTTATAAAAAAATTAAATGTGACTCTTGAAATGATACTTAATCCCTTTTCAATTCAGTGCTGACAAAGACCTTACCTCATCTTTTTTTTTTTTTAAAGATTTATTTATTTATTTGACAGACAGAGATCACAAGTAGGCAGAGAGGGAGGCAGTGAGAGAGAGAGGAGGAAGCAGGCTCCCCGCGGAGCAGAGAGCCCAATGTGGGGCTCGATCCCATGACCCTGGGATCATGACCTCAGCCGAAGGCAGAGGCTTTAACCCACTGAGCCACCCAGGCGCCCCCTTACCTCATCTTCTTAACCCGTTTTAAAATAGATGTCAAAACCAGAAATAGCAATATTTTAGTTTTAAGGGTGGGAAACAAAGAAAGAAGATGCTCAGAACACTGTCTTCATGAAGTATTTACTTATTTATTTGTTATTTATTATTTGGGGGGGGAGGGGCAAAGGGACAGGGCGAGAGAGAATCCTAAGCAGGCTGCATGCCCAGCATAGAGCCTGACGCAGGGCTCAATCTCATGACCATGACATTATGACCTGAGCCAAAATCAAGAGTCAGATGCTTAACCACCTAAGCCACTCAGGCACCTCACTTCATAAGATAATGGTTAATGGAATAATTCTGGAAACTTTATGCCAGTTGAAATTGTCCTAAATTGATCTTATTCAATACAGCAAGATATAAAACATAAGGCAAAAACAGTCATTAGAGCAAAGTCATATGATTTTGAAAACCAAAAGGGAGAAATTAAAACACTGGTCATAGGGACGCCTGGGTGGCTCAGTTGGTTAAGCAGCTGCCTTCGGCTCAGGTCATGATCCCAGCAACCTGGGATCAAGTCCCGCATTGGACTCCTTGCTCGGCAGGGAGCCTGCTTCGCCCTCTGCCTCTGCCTGCCACTCTGTCTGCCTGTGCTTGCTCTCTAATAAATAAATAAAATCTAAAAAAAAAAAAAAAAAAAAAACCACTGGTCATAAAACTGTAATTTGGAGAAAACAGTAAAATTAGTACATACGTGTTCTATGAGCATATATTACTCTTGTAAGTAGAAAATAATCCTTTAAAAAGAGGTCTGGAGGCGCCTGGTGGCTCAGTCGGTTAAGCGTCTCCCTTTGACTCAGGTCATGATCCCAGTATCCTGGAATTGAGCCCTGCATCAGGCTCCCTGCTCAGTGGGGATCTGCTTCTCACTCTGCCCTTCAGCCCGCTCATGCTCTCTCTCTCTCTCTCAAATAAATAAGTAAAATCTTAAGAAAAATAAAAATAAGGGGTGCCTGGGTGGCTCAGTGGGTTAAAGCTTCTGCCTTTGGCTCAGGTCATGATCTCAGGGTCCTGGGATCAAGCCCCGCATCAGGCTCTCTGCTCAGAGGGGAGCCTGCTTCCTCCTCTCTCTCTTTCTCTCTGCCTGCCCCTCTGCCTACTTATGATCTCTGTCTGTCAAATAAATAAATAAAATCTTAAAAATAAATAAATAAAAATAAAATAAAAATAAAAAAGGAGTCTGGAATAACTATACTCTGAACGGAGAGTCTGGTGCAGTTCGCTATTGCTAACTTTCTAGAAATAGCCATTCTGAGAACCTACTGTATATAAAGCAAGTTGGTGTTTTACCTATTTGTTAGGGGAAAAGAGCAGGTCAAACCAACTCCTACTAGATGCTGTTACTCTGTCAAACTCTGGATAATATCAAAAGCATAAAATGCTTTTTTAAAAAAAGTAACAACATAAGATTTATATAATGAAAACTGCAAAACAACTTTGAAAAAAATTAAAGAACTTATTAAATGGAAAGATATCCCAAGTTAATGGATAAGAGGACTTAATACTGTTAAGATGGGAATACTCCCCAACTGAGCTTACAAATTCAGTATGATCCCATCAAAAATCACAGATGAATACTTTACAGAAATGGACAAGCTGATCCTAAAATTCATATGGAATGCGAAGAACCCAGAATAGCCAAACCTATCATTTAACAGTGAACAAAACTGGAGGACTCATACTTCCCAATTTCAAAACAAATCCCTCTGCCCCCAGTGGTTTTTTCCCTTAATTTCCCTCAGTTTAAGTCTTGACATGTCTCTCTCAAAGATCTGTGCAGAGACTCACATTAACTTATAACACAGTCCTCTTCATCCTAGAAAACAAATTGAGTATGCTTAAGTTTGCCTTTACAATAAAAGGTATGTCCTGGGGCATCTGGATGGCTCAGTTCATTGAGTGTCTTGACTCTTGGTTTCATCTCAGGTCATGATCTCAGGTTTGTGGGATCGAGCCCCAGGTCAGGATATGCTCTCAGCACGGAGTTGCTTATCGCTCTCCCTCTGCTTCTCCCCCTGCTCATGCACCCTCTCTCTCTCTCTCAAGTAAATGAATAAATAAAATCTTAAAAAAAAAAAAAAAAAGTCCTGGGGTGCCTGGGTGGCTCAGTGGGTTAAAACCTCTGCCTTCGGCTCAGGTCATGGTCCCAGGGTTTTGGGATCGAGCCCCGAATCGGGCTCTCTGCTCGGCAGGGAGCCTGCTTCCTCCTCTCTCTCTGCCTGCCTCTCTGCCTAGTTGTTATCTCTGTCTGTCAAATAAATAAATAAAAACCTTAAAAAAAAAAAAGTACTAATAAACTAACATGAACTTTCATAAAAAAGAAATCTTTTAAGAATGAAATGACAAACAGGGCTAATAAATTAAAAATTGTAACAAAGTCATGCTCTCCAGAATGAAAACTCACAAAATGATGGAACACAGTTTAAGAAATTTTCACTAAACCCAGAAAAAAGGATATGAGAAAAATTATGAGAGAAGAACCAAAAGTCTGAAGGCCTATCAATGCATAACAAAACAAGTTTCTGCATAAGAGCAAAGAACTAAGTAAAAGTAAAGCAATAACCTTTTCTGAGCTTAAAAGAAAAAAAAAAATCAAAACATTTCAATTTGATAATGGAGAGTATCTATGATATTCCCAGGTAAAAGTAATGACATCTGAGTGTCACCTACTTAAAATCTGACAGAATTTTAAATTTTAACACCAAAAATAAGAACCCAAAGGGTGAGCAGGCTGACACTGACTGATACATATACAAAGTCAGGTCATCCTCAGTGACAAAACTGAGAATACATTAGATCCTCTCTAAAATATCGAATGAAAATGGGGCGCTTGGGTAGCTTAGTTGTTAAGTGTCTGCCTTCGGCTCAGGTCACGATCTCAGGGTCCTGGGATTGAGCCCCGCATTGGACTCCCTGCTCAGCAGAAGCCTGCTTCTCCCTCTCCCATTCCCCCTTCTTGTGCTCTCTCTCTCGCTGTGTCTCTCTCTGTCAAATAAACAAATAAAATCTTAAAAAAAAAAAAAATTAAATGAAAGAAGGATGCAAAAATACTTAGTATTAAAGGAAAAAAGACTATCATCTTTGTACCACCCAAGTAGTCATTTGTGAGAAGGAATAAGAAATACAATATTAGACAATTGGGAATTTTTAAAAAGTTATTAATTTTGGTACCCATTCAGAAAAACAAAACTGTATAAATAAAGACACAAATGGAAAAGTGAACTAAAAATACATAAAAATTGTGGCTAGAAAGGATCCAGAGGTGATCAATGCAAATAAACTCTACCTAAAAACTATAAAGTTTTAAAAAATGTTTTACATAACGATCTATAAGGCCAAATTAAACCAATCAAAGAGAAACATAACACCGAAACTCAAATTAATGTTTAAGAATTTATTCAAGGGCACCTGGGTGGCTCAGTCAGTTAAGTGTCTGCCTTTGGCTCAGGTCATGATCCCAGGGTTCTGGGACCAAGTCCTGCATTAGGCTCCCTGCTCAGTGGGGAGTTTGCCTCTTCCTCTGCCCCTGCCCCCACTTGTGCTCTTTCTCTCTCAAATAAATAAAATCTTAGAAAAAAAAAGTATTCATGGGTACCTGGGTGGCTCAGTTGTTAAGCATCTGCCTTTGGCTCAGGATGGAGCCCCCATCAGGCTCCCTGCTCAGCAGGAGGCCTGCTTCTCCCTCTCCTACTCCCCCTGTTTGTGTTCCCTCTCTCACTGTCTCTGTCAAATAAATAAATAAAATCTTAAAAAAAAAAAAGTATTCAAGTATTTGTAAATTTAAAAAAATTTGCCTATCACATTTAAAAGTACTTAGCCTCAATCCTTAAACAAATTTGAAAAATAATACTTTTTTAAAAAGATTTTATTTATTTATTTGAGAGAGAGAGGTGGGGAAAGAGGCAGAGGGAGAGGGAGAAACAGACTCCCTACTGAGCAAGGAGCCTAATGAGGGGCTTGATCCCAGGACCCTGGGATCATAACCTGAGCTGAAGGCAGATGCTTAAATGACTGCGCTACCCAGGCACCTCCGTAAAAATAATTCTAAAGGTAGAAAGGATTATGGGAAATGGGAAAACTCATTTACTAAGGTAAAATTGTTACATTTCTTTTTTCTTTTTTCTTTTTTTTAAAGATTTTACTTGTTATGGGGTTATGGGCATTGGGGAGGGTATATGCTATGGTGAGTGCTGTGAAGTGTGCAAGCCTGACGATTCACAGACCTGTATCTCTGGGGCTAATAATACATTCTGTTATAAAAAATAGAAAATAAAAAAAAATTTTTTTAAAGATTTTATTTGTTAGAGAGATAGAGAAAGAGAAACATGCAGGGAGCAGCAGGCAGAGGGAGAAACGGGCTCCCCACTAAGCAGGGAGCCCAATGGAGGACTCAATCCCAGGACCAAGGATCATGACCTGAGCCGAAGGCAGATGCTTAAAGGACTGAGCCACCCAAGCATCCCTGTTACATTTCTGAAACAAGTTGGAAATATGCACGGAGAGCCTCAGAAATGTTTATCCTGTTTACCTTAAGAGCTCTACTTTTAGAAAGCCACTGTAAGAAAATAATCTAAAGTTCATTAAGTATTTGTGTATCATTGCAATACTTATACTTTACAGACTAGTATCAATTTACATGTTAACAAGAATGAAATGACTAAAAAGCTGTACATATTCATGATACTAAATTGCCCTTGAAGTTTATATTTATATGAAATTTCTAATTACAAGAAGAAATTTTATCTGGTAATGAAAATTGATTAAAAACAGGATAGAAAACTGTTTACACAGTATGATTTCAACTATATAACTAAAAAAATATTTACAGAGGAAAAAGAGAACCAGAAGAAAGTAGCAACAGTAATTACTGTAATTTGTAGAAGAATAATTTCCATTTCCATATTTTCTTCTCTTTCCAAGTTCCTAAAATAAATGTATATTGTTATATGTATATATATATTTTAAAGTGAAGTATACGCAGGGGTTGGTGGGAAGGGTAGAAGGAGGGGGAGAAAGAGCTCAAGCAGGCTCCACACCCAGCATGTAGCACAAGAGGGGTTCAATCTCATGACCCCTAAGATCACTGACCTGAGCCAAAATCAACAGTCAGACATTTAACCAACCGAGCCACCCAGGTGCTCCAAATTGTATTATTAATATGGTCAGAAAAAAAACTTTCCTTACATTGAATTCTCACGTTAGCTTATATTTTTATCATTCAGTCAGAGGCCTTGTTGCAATTTTTGAACCAAGGTATACTAATACACTACAGATTTTCAAGATTTTCTCAGCACTATTTCAAATATTTTATTTTTTTAAGATTTTAATTTATTTATTTGAGAGAGAGGGAGAGAACATGAGCAGGGGGAAAGGCAGAGGAAGGAGCAGATTCCCTGCTGAGCAGGGCGCCAGACACAGGCTCTATCCCAGAATCCTGGGATCACGACCTAAGCTGAAGGCAGACACTTAACCAACTGAGCCACCCAGGCACCCCTCAAATATTTTAAATATTATCATCTTTGGTTCTTTTCACACAGAAAATAAAGGTATCTCTCACATCTACTACTGAGACATTGCTAAATATTAAGCTATTTGTATATCTAAATGTGACAGTATAACAGTAACACATGTACACGAAATTACTTGAATCTTACAGTATATAGAACAATTACTCAACATACCTATGAAGGATATTCATAACTTTCCAATCACCAGAAACACCACTACTCATCCGAATCTTTTGAGCAATGTTGGAAACAGATGCAAGAATTGCTGCGCCATCATTTCTCTGGAGTGCAGAACTGCCTAAAACCACCATTGGTTTTTTAGCTTCATGTAATACCTATTTAAAAATAGAACTCCAATTAAAAATTTTTTTAAATTTGCATCTACAATATGTTGTCCCAAGTTTTAGTTTTAATGCAGACTATCTTTGATTTTTAAGAGTCAACATATACACATTTATACAACCAGATTTAACTTAAAAAAACACCTCACCAATGCTACTATGAAATGGCTAAATGAGTTATCAGATAAAATAGATTTTCTAAAAGTAAGTACTGGGAATGAAAGCCTTTCCCAAATATCCTTTGGTCAGAATGATTATGGGTATGTTCCAGAAAAATCGGGCAATGTCCCTACAGAGATTGAGTTGGTACTTTCTAACAGAAAAAGCCACATTCAACTATCATGTCTATAGTTTTCTAGCTACTCACCATGCTCTAGACAAGGAGGAACAGGTAGGGAAAACAATGAACCTAGCATTACAATAGAGAATACCTAAAACTTTAAGGGCTCTGCTTTAAATCATAGTAACTTCTGAATGCCAAAACCGGAGGGGAGTGCATCTCAAAATCAAAGGAAACTACATATTTAGTGGAGGATGGAAAAATTAAAAGTAAAGAGGAAGAGTGTAGAGTTCACTCTCCTAACCACCCTCTGCATCATTCTTCTATAAATAACTGGCCCAAATCAAGGAATCCACCTGAGAGTTATGCCTACACACTACAGAGGAGAGTAAACGTCTTCCTAGGGAATTTCCCAAGAAAATGTGAAGAGTTCAGAAAAACGGTTTTCTTTCTTTCTTTATAAAACAGTTTATTTATTTATTTGACAGAGAGAGAGAGACAGAGAGAGCACAAGCAGGGGGAAAGGCAGAGGGAGAGGGAGAAGCAGGCGCTCCACTGAGCAGGGAGCCGGATGCAGGGCTCAATCCCAGGACTCTGGGATCATGACCTCAGCCAAAGGCAGATGCTTAACCAACATGGCCACCTAGGCGCCCCTTGTTAGGAGTTCTTAATGAAGAGACCACCACTTACTAACTGAAAATACATTTAGGGGCGCCTGAGTGGCTCAGTGGATTAAAGTGCCTACCTTCAGCTCAGGTCATGATCCCAGAGTCCTGGGATCAAACCCCACATCGGGTTCTCTGCCCAGCAGGGAGCCTGCTTCCACCTCTCTTCTCTCTGCCTGCCTCTTTGTCTACTTGTGATCTCTGCCTGTCAAATAAATAAATAAAATCTTAAAAAAATAAATAAATAAATAAATGAAAGAAAATACATTTAAATCTAGTACAGAAAAAAACTCCTGAAAAACACCGATCATTTTCTGGAGCACGGAGATGGGAATTAGAAAAGAAGAATACTTTTCATTAAGTTTTTTTTTTCTATTTTTGATCACTGCAATGAAAATGTTTTTCCTATTCAAAACAAAGGAACTGGGCTTAGCTATTTTGTACCACATGATTACACCTAAGGCCACACCAACTTGGAACCATAAGGAGAAGCTCACTCAAACACATGGGAGCAAAGACACTGAAGAAGTAAAGCAGTAAGGAATAGCCTTCCTAGATGACATCCTTGGACATTTATCAAACTGCCTATCCTCCAAAACTGTTACGTGAAGAACAGAAACCTCTTACATTTTTTAAATAATCAGCATTCCACCTCACAGGCACAAATACTAAAATAAAAAGAACCTTGAATTTTCACAATGAAAGGCACACCATGTCCCATAAGAAAGTGACAGAGAACCACCACCATTAAGACATATTCTGAAGTTATTAAATTTCAAAGATATAGAAGCTAGTATAAAGGTTCAAAAAAGTACCTAGATAGTAAAAAAAAAAAAAAAATCCGGACAGGGTTGGGAGAAAATATGACTGACATCAGGCTTCTCCACAGTAACAAAAAGCAATGTCTATAAAGTTCAGAGAGGAAAAAAGTGTGACCCTATAACTCTGTATTCTGCCACGGCTCTCTTCAGGAATAAAACAGACATTCTCAAGCAAGCAAGAAATTAAGGAACAGTGTACTTATGAACCCCTCTTGGAAAAGTAAATAATAACCTATAAATACCAGACAGCAACGAAGTGAATGTAAATAAAGTACTCGGTAATGAAAATGTCATTAAAAGGACTGGTGAAATTGAAGAATAACTCTTGTAGTACAGAAAGATTTCCTTTAACTTCAAATTCCTTCAGTTTCACTTCAGCTTGGAGGGGCTTGAACTCACGACCCTGAAATCATGACCTAAGCTAAGATTAAGAGTAGGACACTTGGGGCACCTGAGTGGCTCAGTGGGTTAAGCCTCTGCCTTCGGCTCAGGTCATGGTCTCAGGGTCCTGGGATCGAGCCCCACGTCGGGCTCTCTGCTCAGCGGGGAGCCTGCTTCCCCCACTCTCTCTCCGCCTGCCTCTCTGTCTACTTGTGATCTCCCTCTCTCTGTAAAATAAATAAATAAAATCTTTAAAAAAAAAAAAAAAAGTCGGACACTTAAGGGATTGAGCCACCCAGGCACCCCTTATATCAATTTCTTTTCTGATAATTTCAAGTAAAATTAAATTCTAGTACATAAAAATAGCACATATAATAAGATCTCATTTTTGTCTATCTATTCATCCATCTTTCTCTACATATGAAGAGAGAAATGATTATGATATTTCATCAATATTTGTTTGGGGGCGCCTGGGTGGTTCAGTTGGTTAAGCCTTTGCCTTCAGCTCAGGTCATGATCCCAGGGTTCTGGGAATGAGCCCCTGCATTGAGGTCCCTGCTCTGCAGGGAGCCTGCTAATCCCTCTCTCTGCATGCCCCTCCCCCTGCTTGTGCACATACTCTGTCAAATAAATAAAATCTTTAATAAAGTAAAAAATAAATTCTTGTTTGGGTTGGTGGAACCTGGGGTAACGTTCTACTCTTTTCCATTTTTCTTTTATTTATGTATTTGAGAGAGAGAGAGATTAAGAGAATGAGTGGGAGGATGAGCCGAGGGAGAAGCAGAGTCCCCACTGAGCAGGGAGCCTGACATAGGACTCCATCCCAGGACCCCGGGATCATGACCTGAGCTGAAGGCAGAAGGTCAACCAACTGAGTCACCCAGGCGCCCCCCCATTTTTCTTCTCTATAGTGGTACAATTTTTAACAGCAATCATATATTATTATGACAAAAACAGTAACTTAAAAATAGTAATACTTAGGGGTGCCTGGGTGGCTCAGTGGGTTAAGCCTCTGCCTTTAAGCCTCAGCTCGAGTCATGATCTCAGGGTTCTGGGATCGAGTCCTGCATCGGGCTCTCTGCTTGGCAGGGAGCCTGCTTCCTCCTCCTCCTCTCTCTCTGCCTACTTGTGATCTTTCTCTGTCAAATAAATAAATGAAATCTTTAAAAAAAATAAAATAAAAAAAAATAATAATACTTAAAAATCAACAAAAGTGGATACATAGAACTTGAGAGCACCTGGCTGAACGGATGGCTACCGGAAGCAATGTCTTGAAGAACTTTGGGAGAATCTCCCAGGTGGTCATATCTATAAGTGAGATCCACTGGGCTGCCAATAAGGGCTACTTTTAAGTCATTGTGAAGCCAGCTGAAATAAAAACAACAAAGATTTTAGAGTTAAATTACTAAATTAGCATAGCCACCAGTCTTAACAATGTAGCCTAGAGGCTACATCTATTTATGTTACAAATGTTAAAGCACAAAGCAGTCACAGAACATTTGGCCTTCACATACACAATTTACTGTGTACCTTTCAGAATAACAGTGTTGTAAAAATGCACACCAAGGTAAGTCAGTGAATTAATCTGCTGTGTAAGAATGCCAAACCTAAGCAAGCTACAAAAACTTTAATTTTAGAATAAATGATGTGTAATTTTTATTTTACCATATTTACATAGCAGAGTCAATTATCTCCTAATTATCCATTAAGGTGATTTAAATATAGTTAATGAAAATAAACTACATCATTCAAATTTATTCTCTTTGCCAGGGAAGTAAGGATCCAGCTCTTCTAAAACTAGATACAAACATGGTGACCATATATTCTGTTTGAGACAGTGCTGGTTTTCATCTGCCTCCTGCGGCATTAACAATTCCCCTCTCACCCTCAACAGTGTCATAGTATAGACAATAAATTATACCAGCCTATTCTAAGTGTCTAAGATATGAAAAGATGGAGGTATTCTACAAAGTAACTGCCCGTACTCTTCAAAAAAATGTCAAAAAAGAAAACTGAGGAGTAATGACACTAACTGCAGTACATGACTTGAGACTGAATCCTGAGCAGGAAAAAAAAATCATGATAGACGAAATTATGGAAAAACTGGTGCATCTTGAGTTATTTCAAAATAAGAGGACGAAGTATTAAGATCAGCAGCGAGGGAGGGAGGGAATGGACCTGTTGGACACTGCACTCCAATTATCTTTTGGAGTCTCATTCCCACTAACACTATTAGGAATTAGCTATTTTTCAGATTTAAAATAAATTATTATATAAACATTTTTAAAACCCTGAATATTACTACTAACCTCTTTCGAATTCTAGCATTAAACAGTGGTGCCTCAAAACGTGGATTTGTACCAACCAGAAGGACAAGATCTGCCTCTTCCACACCAGCAATTGTAGTATTAAGAAGATAGTTGGAACGCAAATCTGTGCTAGAAATACAAAATTAAAAATGCAGGTTTACTTCAAAACTAATACATAATGAAAATCCAGGCAATATTTTCATGTCAGCAAGCCCATGGTATTCCCAGACAAAAAAATTCCTATGAAGTATTTCTAAATTACATCAAAGTTTCAGATATATTTTTTTGTAAGATTTATTTATGTGAGAGAGAGAGAGAGAGAGAAATCATGTGCATGTGAGCAGGGGGAGGGGCAAGGGAGAGTGAGACAAGTAGATTCCCTGCTAAGTGGGGAAGCCTACTCAGGGCTCAATCCCAGGACCCTGAGATCATGACCTGAGCCGAAATCAAGAGCTGGATGCTTAACCAACTGAGTGACCCAGGCACCATTCAGATACTTATCGATAACTGGGATTCTCCAATAGTTCCTGGGTTGACTTTGGTCTCTGTGTGAAAAGAAACTGGTGTGTATGATGGAAAATCCAAGCTGTCAGTCATCACTTATTGATGCCACAGATGTACTTATTTATTTAAATTTTTAAAAATTAAAAAAAAAAAAAAGATTTTATTTATTTGACAGATATCACAAGTAGGCAGAGATGCAGGCAGAGAGAGAGAGGGAGGAGGAAGCAGGCTCCCTGCTGAGCGGACAGCCCAATGTGGAGCTCGATCCCAGGACCCTGGGATCATGACCTGAGCTGAAGGCAGAGGCTTTAACCCACTGAGCCACCCAGGCGCCCCCTATTTACTTATTTATTTAAGTAAACTCTACCACCAATGTGGGATCGAATTTAGGACCCCGAGATTCAGAGTCACCCACTCTACCAACTGAGCCAGCCAGGAGCCCCAGATGTAATGATTTATACACAACTTTATAACCACAACAAAGCAGGCCTAGATGCTAGCTTCGTAGTTCTCACCCAGCTCCTGCAGTGGGGAAGACCTCTTCCGTGCACAGGGTGTCAGAGTCCACCTTATTAAGCAAATCCTTGAGAGCTACCAGGGCTTCAGCATCCACCAAGCCACCTGCAACTGCTGCCACATCACTGCCCTGAAAACTTTGCAACTGGAAATGGACGAAAAGGGTGTCACCAAAAACCTCCATTCGGCAAAGACCACTACTCAGAAAACAAAACAAGTCATTTTAAAGTATTAAAAAAGCAACAAACCTTAGACTAGAAAGGCTTACACTAACTATTAACTAGAAGTGACAAAGGTGTCTGCGAGGCCAAGGCTAATAACACCACCAGCTTGGAGGGAAGGTATTTGTTTTTAATTAGAAACAAAGGGGGCTCATGATGAGGTTTGGAGGATGAAGACTGAATTATAGTTAAATTTGACTTCTTCCAAAGTATCTACTTACTACTCCCTCAAGCCCTTTGCGTACATTTCTCGGACTAGAAAGCCACTCCCCCCCATCTCTGCTCTGGCAAGTCTGCATTCATTCTTAGACTTTGCCTAATTGACTTTATATAGGAAGGCATCCTTGACATGCTAGCCTGGTTAGGCACCCCTCCCATGTGCTCTTTTGTATTCCTGCACAACTACCTGAGCACATGATACCTGATTGACTACGGGTCTTTCCCTACTATAAGATTGTGGGAAGTAGGGACCATGTGTTAGCGGTCTCTACATCCCTACCTCCAGCGTGAATATCTAGCATACGGTTCTTAATATATGTTTGTTAAATGAAGGCAATCATGACAAGAAAAAATGAAGAGACACACATTCCCCACTTTGCTACAAAGATGTTCCTTGAAAATCACAAATACTATTTATTCTATACTTCAATGTTTTACCATTCCAGCTACACGAGAGAGTGCATCCTCCCAGGAGGTATAGGTTAAAAGCCCCTTTTCATTTCTGACCATCGGCTCCGTAAGTCTTTGACGTTTTAGCCCATCATAGGCAAATCTAAATAACAGAAATTACACCATTTGTGGAATCCTGCTGAAGAGGCAACTAGTTTTCAAGTTCAAAATCTAAAAAAAAATGCTATTTAAACATTGTATCAGTTACAGTGTCAAACAGACTGATGAACACTTGGATACAAATACTTACTCCCCCCCCCCCAAAAAGACCAAAAAACCCACAAATACTTATTCCCGGTTTTTGGAAGATGAATAAATATTTTATGCACATCATCCAAAACTAAAACATCATCTAAAGAGTTTGAGTTCTTGTAAGTTGTTTTCAGCTAAATGAAATTACAACACAAAAAAATCTGATAGCTGAAGAAGCAAAGCCATTTTTATTTATAAAACCCGAATACTTTTAGATATTTTATCAAAATTATGATGTACAGGCTCTAACTTACATGTAGCTTTTCTCTAAAGAACAAACTGGAGTAGATTAAGTACCTTAATCCACTTCAAAATTGTAGGATGGATATTTGTCAGTTAATATGAAAGCCAGCGATATACCTAGACTACTGTTAATTTTCTCCAATTCTCCATATTAACAGTCTAGATTTTCAGTAGTCTACATTTATTAACTAATTTGCAAGTATAAAAACTATTTTAAAATTAAAATTACCATAAAATATACTTCAAATCAAGTGCAAAAGTTAAGAAAAACAATGCCGCATATACCTGGTTTTATCAGAGATCCACTCTTCATTGATGTCCTCGTGCATCCTTGGCAAAATCCTCATCACCTCTCCTGTTCTTGTGCTTACCACAATATTACTTCCAACTGCATCCATGACATCAATGGATTCCGTCTTTCTGAGAAAATAAGCACATGTATTTACTATGCTGATTTTGGCAATAAGGACAAAGTTTCTGCTATATGATTTTACAATGGGGACGCCTGGGTGGCTCAGTCAGTTAAGCCGCTGCCTCCGGCTCAAGTCATCATCCCACGGTCCTGGGATTGAGTCCCCCATCAGGCTCCTTGCTCAGCAGGGAGCCTGCTTCTCTCTCTGCCTCTGCCTGCCACCCTGCCTGCTTGTGTGCTCTCTCTCTGATAAATAAATACATAAATAAATAAATAAAATCTTAAAAACAAATTTTACAATGACTTGCCTTTCTGAATTTCTAAAAAATAATGGCACCCAGAGAAATTGCAATAAAATAAAAATACCCTCATATGTGACTACTTCACACAAATTCCTACTGTAAAAATAAAGCTTTAGGGACACCTGGGCGTCTGACTGTTGATTTCGACTCAGGTCATGATCTCAAGGTAGCGAGATCAAGCCCTGTGTAGTATGCAGAGTCTGCTCTCCGTATGCTCCTCCCCGCAATCGCACATGCATGAGCTTGCAAGCTCTCTCCATAAATAAAATCTTAAAAAAATAAATAAATAAAGCTTTAGAGACTGTTAAATAATATAAAAGCCAACGGTAAGGGTTCCAAGTGGCCAAATCTGGGAACTATGATTATCAAAATAAATAGCAAGAAGGTAAGATTTCTGGGTATGGCTGATTAAAAGAGCCTGACAAATCCTCCCCGCAAAAAAGCAAAAATAAAGCTTAACAAAATTAGCAAAAATAACCACTTTGGGGGCACCTGGGTGACTCAGTGTGTTAAAGCCTCTGCCTTCGGCTCAGGTCATGATCTCAGGGTCCTGGGATGGAGCCCCGCATCAGGCTCTCTGCTCGGCGGGGAGCCTGCTTCCTCCTCTCTCTCTGCCTGCCTCTCTGCCTACTTGTGATCTCTGTCTGTCAAATAAATAAATAAAATCTTTAAAAAAAATGTTAAAAAAAAACAAACAAACCCAAAAATAACCACTTTGGAAATCTAACAAAAAGGGACACACCATCACAAGAAGCTTTTATGCAGGGAAAAACTACCGAACTTCAAGTAAAAAGGCTGGAAATCAGCGGTGATGTGAATTGGCCTGTCCTCATCCCCTTGCCCACCACCTCGAACAGGTTCTGCCAGGCTGAGGTAAGCTGTGGAGATGGAAGCTTCTCTGCCTGCATTATGGGAGTCTCAGAAGAAAAACAGAAAAATCTACTTATGTCATCTCAGCTATGTACTGTGCCTTATCCCCCAAATCCTTTTTATACATAAACATATGGTTTAAAACCTAGAACTGTAAAAAACTCCCATATATTCTAGTGGAAGTTTAAAAATGGGAGGGCAATTTAATGATATGTTTCTAGAACCTTAAAAATACTCAAACTTATTGCAACTACCTACTCCATTTCCCGGTTTAGTAAGAAAAATCAGATATATAAGAAAAAAATTCATTTGTAACAATTTTTAAAAAAGATTTTATTATTAATTCACTTGAGAGAGAGAGAGAGAGAGAGAGAGAAAGTGTATAAGCTGGGGGGAGAGGGAGAGAATCTGAAGTGAACTCTTGTGCTGAGCACAGAGCTATATGTGGGGCTTGATTTCATGACTCAGATCATGATCTGAGCCAAAACCAAGAGTTAGATGCTTAAGTGACTGAGCTACTCAGGCATCCCAATAACAATTTATATCATAGGTTTACAACTATACAGAAACAAACTAAATGCCTGATAATAGGAACTAACAAAATAAAGTATGATATATCCACATGGTTGAAAACTTAATATACAATTAGAGGAGACTATAAATCTTAAAAAATCAAGACAATTTTACTCTTTGGAAATACAAGTGACTAAAATAATTATATGGTTAAGTACTTTGGAATTAATTTCCAAGAAAATTGTAATTAATTTGCCCAGGTTCATCCTATCCTTTAATCTATCTTCTTACTTTCCAGTAAGAGGGTTTAACTTAAAGCAAATACCTAAAAACTTAGCAGACCAAAACAATTAGAATACAGCAAGAACACGAATCTTCAATTTTCTTCAACAGCAGTCAACTAAAGGACAGAAAACAAACTGTCAAAAAACACAACAATGAATACCTTGTTTCCCAAGGGCGGGCAGTAAAAGCATAGGGCTTAGAGGTCAGGGCACCTACAGGGCAGATATCAATGATATTTCCAGAGAGCTCAGACATGAACATCTTTTCAACATATGTGCCAACTTGCATATCATTCCCTCTGCCTGTTGTTCCCAAATCATCTACTCCTGCAATCTCACTTGCAAACCTGCAAGATAAAAATGTACTGTCAAATGGTCAAATCCAGCAAAATTATCTCCTTTCCTAACTATGCTCACAAAGAAATGATTTTCAAAACACTAAAAAGACATGAGTATATTTTCAATGGTGAGCATCGTCCTTGAATAAAAGAGTTCAATAAATGTTTGCTTCTAAGTTAATTGCAATGTAACACACATATAGAAAATGGCACAAATCATGTGTAGCTCAACAAGTTATCACAGAGTTAATGCTTATAGATTTTGATTTGTAAATTCAGCGGAAGTTGATATTCACTGAAAGTGAAAAATTTCATTTTATTCGTGTGTGCAGACAACGATAAAAACATCCCTTTCCTACAACCAAAAAAAAGTAGCCCTTTCTTCCAGTGTTATTATTCCACCAAATTTGTGAGTATTAGGTAAGTATGTGAATGATATTCCAGAAGAGAGGAGGAAAAACATTACCTGATGCAGCGAGTACACTGTATACATCTAGTCATGATGGTCTTTACCAATGGCCCAATGTTCTTGTCCTCCACAGCACGTTTCCCCTCTAAAAATCGGCTCCTATCACTTCCGAACATCATGGACTGGTCCTTAAGTAGATTAGGAGAGTTAATTTAATGCTGCTAGTAAAATTAAAACTTGAGACAGCCAAAAACGACTTATGAAGTTAGACTACATACCTGCAGATCACATTCACCTCCCTGGTCACAAATAGGACAGTCCAGTGGGTGATTTGCTAGCAAGAACTCCATCACACCTTCTCTGTATGGATAATTTTAATATATAAAATGATATAAATTTTTGGCACTCAAAATGGTTTGGATATAGGCTATCTAGATAACCTCCAGAGATGTATCCTTTCACAAAGCATTAATTTTACACTTATTATCAGAAATGCCAATGCAACCATCATTCTAGTATTAGACACATGATCTAAAAAAATGTTTATAGAAAACTAGGAATAAAATATCATTTATAGAATCTAGAAAACTGTAACTTTTAATAATACAAAATTACCAAAAATTGCTAAATGATCTTCAGAAAACATTCACATTAATTCAAAACAAAAACAAAAACAAACACACAAATGCACAGCAAAAAACAAGTAACAGTGCCTGTATAGTATAGTAATACGTTACTGAAATAATCTCAGTTCAGTAAGCCCCAGATTCACTATTCATCACAAGTTTAACAAGTTACTGAAGAAGAGCTTTTAGTGCTAATTCCATTCTAGGCTCAAAACCATAAACATCTGACTTCACCTCCTCAATGTGTACTTACTTCTACAGTTCCCATGAGCTGAACATGCCAACTTTTTCAGAGCTTGCTAGAGTTCCTCATCTAGGAGAGGTCTAAATACTGAAATGAGCAATTTTCTGCTCTAAGAAAAGTTACTATGCTAAGTTGCACTAAAGTACCTGGCTTTCTTAGATTTCTCTGAGTTTGTCAGGATATTCCAACCTTTCATTACTGGCATGGCACAAGCAGCTACAACCTGCAATTTCAATGGAAAAATCTTTAAGTTCCTATATTTATAAGCAACCCAACATATGAAAAGATCAAGTCAGCCATCTAAAAAGAAACAAAGAACAGTATTTTTGAAGACATAATTTTTCAGTTTTCATATTCACAATATGATACCTGACTCTCTTAGAAAAAAATATCATACTTCTAAATTCTATTCTCATAGTTAAAGCAACTTTAGACTCAGAAACAGAACATCAAATAACTCTGTTTTGATTAGCACGTACTACTGAATTAAAATGACATGAGGCAAAATGAAATTAAACTGAAAGTGAACCTCTTCATTACAATCCTTCTCTAGTGAAAATGGAACAGCAGAAGAGCTTTCAACGTGATGTTTGGCAATTCCACATCCTAGCTGTGTGTCTTATCACGTGGAAATACTGGCAGGTGTAAGAAGTCACCTTTAATTTCCAAATCTATTACATTTATATAGTGCTTGCATTTATAAAGCACTTTCATCAATGCTTTTCCAGTTTTGAAATGAACAAACTTAACTGCACACAAAAAAATAAATTTCTAGAAACAATTAAACAGGTCTAGGTTTCTCCACTACAATAATGACTCTAAATAAAGTTTGCTGCAAGATTTAAAGTTTTCTACCTTCTACAGCATGGTGTGGAATTTTAGGTATCAAGTACCTTAGGAGCTTTCTCAATTTCAACCAGGCACATCCTGCAGTTTCCAGCAACAGACAATCTTTCATGATAACAGAATCGAGGGATCTGCATGCCAACCTTCTCACAAGCCTAGAAGACAAAGTAAACATTTTTTTGCATTAGGATAACCTAATCTAATCCCTTTCTCGCCTAAAACACAGAAGAAGAAAAAAGTCATCCCCACCCACCTTATTACACCTATCTATAAATATCTATACCTTCATTCATTCTTACTCCATTCCTGAACAGATTTCCCTCCTTCTTTGCTCTTGATTACTACCCCTATCTACTCTTAAGCTGCTTCTTTAAGAATCCTCAGCATACCTATACCTTATGTGGAAGAAACGAAATGAACCAACCTCTCAGATTGTGCTGAGGGTTTGACTCCCCATTTCCACTCTGAACTGCTGTCTACAAAGACACCCCTTCAAACTCTGTCCCAGTGGTTTCATACTGGGATTTCTTCTTTGCTTAGGTCCCCCCTTTGGTTTGACTTCAACTCACACTGTCTAGTTGGCTATGATCTGCTTCTATATTGGCTCCATATTCCCTACCTAGGACTCATACTCCCACTGTCATTGACACTCTCCTCAGTTCCCATTTACCTACTAAGGGGGATTAGCCCAGCTCTCCTAATTATCACTCCTTCTTCTTGAGGCCTACAAACCTATTCAAATTTCCCCTGGAGTTAGCTCTTCCATCTTTAGCCCTTACCTTAAAGCAGTTTCCTCAAATGCCAATGTTTCAACTACTTAGCAAAAATGTATTAAGTCTTCCTGTGTGCTAGATACAGAGGATACAGGAAGTAACAAGCAAAATCTGGTCCCAACCTTTATATGAGGCCACATTCCAGACGATGATTCTATCTAAACCCTCATTTGTAGCCCTGAGAGTCTACCACTCCTCTAAGCTTTAGACTTAAATAGGCATGCACATGTGTGTGCTCTATAGACAGCTAAAATTCAACCTATTTCTGTCTCCTATGATACATCCCCAAATAAGCTAACAAAGCCAGAAACCACAAAAATTCCCCTGCTCTTCACTGTTCTCAAAGGCCTATATCTTACTCTCCCTGAATCTATCCTCTTACTTTCATTCCCATGAAAGTAAGGGTACTATCTATTTTAGGCCTTTCATTTTCTGCTCTACTAATGCAAGATATTTCTCCTTTGTCTCTCACACTAGTCTCGTTATTCTCCAAACCAACCTCCTCTCTAGTCACTGTCATACTGCTTAACTGCCATGAAAACTGCTGACAGGTCAAACTCTAAGCTCTTTAGCATGACACATATCTTCTTTCGTGACTGGACCTCTCTATCAGAGTAATGTGAGATCCTGTTATCTTATCTTCTACATATACCTTATGTCCCAACAATACCAACCACTTGAAGCTTCTTTGTCCAAATATAAACACTTACTTGGCCTTTAAAATCTCCTCAGGGATCACCTGAGATACCCCTAACATCTCTTTCTATCACCTCCTGTACCTGGCAAAAATACTCTCCACCGCAAATCTGTGCTTGGCAGATAGACTAGAAATGACTGCTAACATGAATGAAGAGCATTTTAGCTTTCGATAACTTGCAGATGGAATGAAGCTTCACTTCTCCATGACCAACTCTGTTAGTTCTGAAGGAATCTGGAAAAATTACATGTTCCAGGCACAAATTCAAGAACAGACTACCTGCTTTGTAGGACACATTCCTGGAAATATTACTAAAAATTGATAAGTTACATGAAGTGAAAAGCATCAAGCAGGTTCACAACAAAGATTACCTTTTCCCCAAACTTACCCATATTAATTTATATTTTATATTTGGTAACTTCAAATTTCTAGTAGGTATTTACTTGGAAAACAGAAGTAAAACAATTTACTACCATAATCACTAAGAAAGTCAGAGACAGATAAATGATAGCTCACTTTGAAATGCCAAGATTTTAAATCCAATTTATTTTCATATAATTTTACTATCTATAGTTCTTTTATGAGCATTTATCAAGGAATCTTAAAATTTTTAGAAGTAGATAAACGGTATAAAGGAAGCAAATTGATATTCCTTAAAAAACCAGAACATATGCAAAAATAAATTAGAACATATGCCTACTTGGAGGACGGTAGTTCCTGGTTCCACCATGACAGACTGACCATCAACAAATACTTCAATTAAGTTGCTTGCTGCTGTGGCAGTTGTTCGAACTGACCATGAAAGATATTGAGAGAAATAAATTAACAGAGTTAAATTTATTATAGCAGAGGACAGTGGATTAACTCTAACCTACAAGCCTAAATGTTTGCTCATTTTATACTATTCCCCTCTACTTCTCTAGATGCAAACCTATGAAATACAGAATTAGACAAAAGCTTTTCCAATCTTAAATACCAGCTAGAATATGGCTATCCACTTTTAATGGTAGTTTAAGTTGAAACTTAATACCACTGAAAATATGTTCATGGAAATACCATTTTTCAAAAGCAGCATAACTGCTTTTTCCATTCTGGCACTGATAGGCAGTTCCTACTACTTTCTATTTCATGACACCTTCTAAAAACTACTTAGTTATATTTTAAAAATTACTCTAGGGGTGCCTGGGTGGCTTAGTCAGTTAAGTGGTCTACTCTTGATTTTAGCTCAGGTCATGATCCCAGGATTGTGAGATCAACCCCTGTGTCACGCTTCCTGCTCAGTGGAGAGTCTGCTTCAAATTCTTTCCCTTTGCCTCTCACCCTGCTTGTGTGCTCTTTCTCTCTAAAATATATAAATAAATCTTAAAAAAAATTATTTTATTCGACTAGGATCATTTGTTTCTATTTTACTTAAAACAAATTACAGTTTAGGGTCTTTCAAGAAACATTCCATAAACCAATGAATTTACAGAGATAAAAGGCTAGTACCCACAAGTGCAAAAAAAAAAAAAATACTCACCACATCCTTTGGAAGACTTATTAGAAAGGCCTACTAAGGCCCTTCTTAGAGGTATCCTTAACATATTGCTAAGAATAAAACAAAGAAGAGTTACATTATCATAGGAAAAAATAAAACCCTAATTACAAACTTTTTGGTAATAGTTCATAAGTTTTAAACACTTCACAAACATTCTTACATTGAACATTCATGAGTCCTGATTTTTCCCCTCAAATTCTAGAAATGAGAATACCCAGTCTCAGGAGATTAACTGATTTGTACAATCCCAAAGAGCTAAGAAGGAACAGCTAGCGTAAAAATCTATGTAAAGGGCAGTTTTGTGTTGTTTTTAACTATCAACAGATGATCAAATATAAAACACTATGGAGTGGGGCACCTGGGTACACAGTGGGTTGAGCCTCTGCCTTGGGCTCGGGTCGTGATCTCAGGGTCCTGGGATTGAGCCCCGCATCGGGCTCTCTGCTCAGTGGGGGGCCTGCTTCCCCCTCTCTCTCTGCCTGCCTCTGTACCTACTTGTGCTCTCTCTCTCTGTCGAAATAAATAAAGAAAATCTTTAAAAAAAAAAAAACAAAAACACTATGGAGTAAAATAAACTCGAAGAACAACAGTGAACTTACCACTAATACTATGTAAAATGACATCTACCTTCCTGCCTTCATTTCCTGCCAATACTCACTGTAACATTCTATGTGCTACACAGTGATCTACTAAATGTTCCTGAGATTCTGAGCTGGCTCACAAGTTCAAGCCTTTTAAGCGTCTGGAGTGCCATTTTCTATGCTTAGTACATTTATCTTGCGGATTTGCAATTCTATGTCTGTTCTACCCTCACTGTATTATGAACTGCTTAAATTTTTCCATCTTTAGGGCCTATTTCCAAGGCTGGTACGTAGTAAGCTCTAAAACAGTGGTTTTCGACCAGGGACAGTTTTGCTTCCCATGGAACATCTGTCAACATTTGGACACTGTTGTCCCACCTGGGGGAAAGCTACTGGTCTCTAGTGGGTAGAGGCCAGGGTTCTGTTAAACATCCTACAATGCACAGGACAGTCTCCTATAATAAACGTTTGCTGAATTACTAAAAGAAAAATGGCAGTGAATTACATAAATAACACCAATTAAAGATATACACAAGCAAAGAGAAAAGCTATCTGAACTTTTAGAGTTTTCATCCATTCACTTGGTCATAACGTCTAAGCACTGAGCTTTTTGTCTATTCACTCGATCAAATGGACTAAGCATCTGAATTATAATTTTTCACTTAGAAAGTCTAAAAATGGAAATTATGGGATCAGACTGTATCAACGTAATGACTTTCAAAGGTAGAGAGTGGAAGACAGTCCATATACCTAAGATTTAAGCATGAAGTTTCACTTACCTATTACAGAAGAGGTATAACAGAAAATGTCATTAAATCAGACTTTAATTCATAACATTCATTAATTCAGAACCTGTGATTCTAAATTTGCAGACATGAAGTCTATCACCCATAAGTGAGTGATTTTTGGTAAATCGAGTTTCTGCTTCTCTATCTATTGGTAAGGAAGAAAACAATACTTCCTAGGCTATGCATTATTAGTAGTAGTTCAATAAACGTCAATTAAATCTAAATTCAGTTCAAACAGTACTAGCCACTGAAGAGCAGTTTCAAAATCCTCTTCATTTGTACTCCCTCTGTACACGCTGTGTATACAGCTCTAGTATTCCACCTACTAAATTACAAGTTGGTCGTCAATTTTAGTACCTACTGAAGTGTAAGCTCCTTGAAGAAAAATGGTATAATTTGGTCATTTCCCTTTTCTGAAGACCTAGCCCTTGAAAAAAATAACCACCAAACAATCTTATCACCAAGTTCCAAAACGAGTAGCATCTGTCTTACTAACTTCTATTGATGATATAAAGGTAAATCTGAATTTGCTGAATCTGCAATGACAGACTGAAAATCAACAATCAATATTTCATACAACAATGTAAACACTTTCTTATATTTTGTCTCCAATACAATCTAAAAGTACTGTCCACTTTAGCTAGGAAATCAACCAGAACTAGACTGTCTCTTGAAAATCCAGCATCAAAGGGAGAAGACAGTTATACAAAATTTCAATGTGTACTTTACACATATTTATCTATCACATAGGAATGGAAATAGTCATCTCTAAATGGGAAAATGTTAATAACCAAACATTTCTAAAACCAGAATGGACACTTTTTAGAATGAGAACAGTACTATTCCACATTCCCCACCGTATATCCTGCATCCATGCACTTCTCTCCCTCCAAGGTATACCACTCTACTGTATGCCACCATCATCTATCCTGGATTATTACAACAGCCCACCTACAGGTCTCCTAGCTTCCACACTGTCCCCACAGCTTCTCCCCTCTCCTCACAGGCTGTGGCCTCAGATTGAAATGCTTTTCCTTCAGATCTTTCTGACTTCTTGCCCTTGAAATCTGGGCTTAACAGACATTCCTCAAGGAGGCTTTCCTTGATCAGCCTATCTTAAAATTTCCTAACTACTCCCCAGTCATATCACCCATTTTATTCTTCTTCGTAGACTCATTCCTCGTTTATAATAGACGTTCAATAACTATTTGCTAAACGAATTCGATCTCGAATCTCTGGCCCAAACTTCCACTTCCCTGGAATTAAAAAGGGCAGGTGCTCTGACAGCCCTGTAACACCCTGCTTAACGATGCACATGCAATTCGGTGGAAAAAAGAACACTCTCTAAGGAAACAACTTGGGATCAGGAACAGTTCAAGCTACATTTGCAATGTCCTCAAATCGTTCTGGAGCAGAGCTGTGTCCGATCTACGGATCCCATCTAATGGATCCCCATTAGATCCCAACATAGCTAAACAACGTAGCTATGTCATTAGCAGTGCGACCTTGGGCAAACTTTTTAAACATCATTTTCTTCAGTTTCCCCACCAGGGAAAAGAATAAAAAATACTGCCCAATGCACTCAACGGAAAAAACAAAACAACAACAACAAAAGAGAGGTGTGGATGGTTGCTAAGGCAACAGGGGCCAAACAGTGTGCTGTACCAAGGACATCCTAACTTGGGGGGGGAAATGCTCAATCTTTAGGCCTAAGTCACTTGACATACGTTCTCTCCCAGGGAACAAAACGGCCTCCGCTCCACAAAGGGGAATGTCCTGCATTTCCCCTGCAGAATGAAGGTCACCCACAAGCCTGCCACCGGTCCAGCGCTCCCAGGGCCTCCAGGTTCTCCACCTGATTTCCGCTCCAAGAGACCTGAGACCACGGCCAACAGCCCTCACCTGCCGGCCCTAGGGGCTTTCGGGGGAGGCGGGGTGGGACGTGATGTCCAGTCAAGGACAAGAGTAGAATAAGTCACCTGGGCCAAAAGTCTCAAGAAATCAACTCCTATGGCAAGAGGAATGTCAGTCTTCTCACGCTATTCACGGCCTCACCTTCTCCTCCGAGCCGCCGAAGCCGCTGCACAGAACTGTCTGTACCGCAACAGCCCCCTCAAAGGCCAGATTGCTTATTCAATATGGCGGCCTCGGCTCATCTCGCCCGCCGGGCCTGGAGAACGGGAAGCCAGGAGGGACTAGAAACCCCGGATTCGACAATTTCCGTTCAGCAAGAGTTCGGCAATTTCCGTCGCCCGCACAGGGGGCGGGGCGGAGGGCGAGCCGCCTAGAGAGGGCGGGGGCGGAGGGCGGGGAGACAGTTTGGAACCGCAGTTCCGCCGGAAGTAGCCGTGCGCCTGAGACCGAGCGTCTTTGGTCATCTCCGGCGCTTCGAGGGGCGGTTCCTGTAGTGTTCCGCAGCCGCGGAGGTACTAATTTAAGAAATACCCCTTTTATTAATTTATTTGCAAACACAAAGAGGCCCGCAGACAATCGGTGGGCAGTTCAGTTCAGAGCCCCGGAATTTTTCGTGAAGGAATGAGGCGCTTAACGTACTTTGACCTTTAACCTTCGACCCGGTGCGGCAGAGGGAAACGCCTCCGTCTCTATATAAGGCATTTTCCGGCCTTTTGCGGCCCTTTTTTTTTTTTTTTTTTTTTTTTTTTTCCCCTCTTAGCGCTAGTCCGTGGCTTCCTCCTCTTCTCTTTTCCTTCGTTGCCGCCCGGTTCCTAGGATCAGCCGACGCCATGGGTTTTGGAGACCTGAAAAGCCCCGCCGGCCTCCAGGTGCTCAACGACTACCTAGCGGACAAGAGCTACATCGAGGGGTGAGGACGGGCCCGGGATGGGGCCGGGCCACGTGGCGCGGCCTCTGCCGCCGCTGGGGGCAAGGCGGCCGGGCTGCGAGGGGCGAAGAGTTAAACGTGCTTGCTTTCCCCGGACTTGATGCTCCCAGGTTATCCCGCGAGCACTCGGTTTGTGGAAGCAAGCCTGTAGGTCTTCGTGAGATACTGCAAAGTTTGAGGTCCACGAAGTGGCAGGGATTCCCAGGGTGGGGCGGAACCCCAAACGCATGGTCCCTGATCTTGAGCTTATTTAAAAAAAAAATAAGTACAGCAGCTTAGGCTTCCCAGTAGCAGATGGGCCATTTCGCAGTAATTAGTTTGACAGAGGTGCCGTTTGTCATTTATTTGCTGGTGTTTGTAGATTTCCTCTTAAAGGCGTGTGCAATTTTGGTATCCTCGGCAGGTATGTGCCGTCACAAGCAGACGTGGCAGTATTCGAAGCAGTCTCCGGCCCCCCACCAGCCGACTTGTATCATGCCCTCCGTTGGTATAATCACATCAAGTCTTACGAAAAGGAAAAGGCCAGGTAAAATCACCTTTGTCTTTATCTGGAGAAGAGAACGTTTTCTAAGCTTAAACTCAGGGTTTTCACATGACAGAATTGGACCCAGGCTACTTTAGTTTTGTTTGGGATATTGTGAGCTTAATTATCTTTGTGACTTTAGAAGGCCGAGAGACTGAAGTCCTCCATTTTTTCACAGAACAGGTAGCACATGGACAGCAGCAGTTCAACTTTTCCCCACAGTGCCCTGACAGTGTGCCTGGACCCTGACCTGGGGGGCCCACCTCTGGGGTGAGAGGGTGGCTCTTTCGCTCAGTCCTTGGCCATTCTTCTGAAACTGCCAGCAAGGGTGGAAGTTTGGGGAAGTGGACTCCAGTTCACTAAGAATGGAACTGAGCATACTTAATGAAATCTCAAAAAGAAATACTCATACAGAAAGAGTAAATCATAGTGAGTATTGAATGTCACGTCTCACGTGCTCCTAATGCTTGTTGGGTGAGGAGTTAAACGTGGAAAAATATTTGCCTGGGAGTGTTTAAGGGTAAATTCTTAGTACAAAAGGGATCTGTTGGTAAAGAGTGATGGAAACACATTCTCATGT